ATTGATTATAATAAAACCTTTGCCCCAATGGCAAGGTTGGATATACTTAGGACCCTCATTGCACTTACAGCACAAAAGGGTTGGAAGTTGCTGCAACTTGATGTGAAATCAGTTTTTTATTTTTTTATTTTTTATTTTTTTTATTTTTAATGGGGTGCTTGAGGAAGAGGTCTACACTGAAGAGCCTGAAGGTTTTGAAGGAATGCAAGACACAAAGTCTATAAGCTAAAGAATGCCTTATATGGTCTAAAGCAAGCTCCCAGAGCTTGGTCCAGTGAAATTGACACCTATTTCATTAGTTGCAACTTCAAGAGAACTCCTAGTGAAGCCACTTTATACACCAGAACTAATGAAAAAGGAAAAATTATAATTGTCTCAATCTATGTTGATGATAATTTCTATACAAGCAATAGTGATATGTTACTCTATGAATTTAAGAAGGAAATAATGCAGAGATATGAGATATCAGACTTAGGACTACTTCACCATTTCTTGGGAATGAGAGTACTACAATCTGAAAAAGGGGTGTTTATTTACCAAAGCAAGTATGAAAAGTCTCTACTTGTCAAGTTTGGACTTGAAGATTGCAAGCCTGTGTCAATTCCCTTACCCACTGGAGAAAAACTGAAAAAGGTTGATGGAAGTGAGCTAGCTGATGAAGCTTTATACAGAAGGATAGTTGACAGTCTACTGTATTTGACAGCAATAAGGCCAGATATAATGTTTGCTACAAGTTTGCTATCTAGGTTTATGAATGGTTCCACAAAGAAACATATGGGAGTAGGAAAAAGAGTTCTGAGATACATTCAAGGAACTCTCAACTATGGCATTGAATTTGTAAGAAACAAAGATGCAATTCTAATTGGATTATGTAACTCATATTGGGCAAGAAGTGAAGATGATAGTATGAGTACTTCAGGATATGAATTTAGCTTTAGAAGCGAAGTGTTCTCATGGGCCTATGTGAATGCATTATCAACTGCTGAAGCTGAGTATGTCTCAGCAGCATAAGCCACAGCTCAAGCTATTTGGCTGAGGTTTGTTCTTGATAACTTTTGGAAGATGCAACCTGATGCAACTCTATTGTTTTGTGACAACATGTCTGTAATATCTATGGCAAATAACCATGTGTTCCATCAAAGGGCAAGACACATCAACATGAAATACCACTTCATCAGGGAAGCATTGTAGGAATGAGCAATTAATGTGAAATATTGCAAAAGTGAAGAACAACTTGCGGACAATTTTACAAAAGCCTTGCCAAAAGAAAGATTTAATTATCTAAGATTAAAGCTTAGAGTGAAGCCAATAAGCAGCTTAGGACAGGCTGTTGAGATTTAAGTTGCATACTAGCTTGGAATCAACATTGCAGATGACTATCCTGCAAGTATAATTGAAGAGAATGGTGAAATCGAAGAATAATGATGAACTTACTAATTTTAGTAATAGCCGTTAAAGTTTAAGTTGTAACATCTAGTTTTCTTTCTATTTTTAGTAAATAGCACATCTGTTGCTCGTATCCATTTGAGTTGCACTGTGCCTTTCGATCCTCTCCCAAGTGGAAGGATCATAACCTCTGATGGCCTGAATGGCTGGAGATGTGTCATTGCTCCCTAAAATGTAGGATATGAGTAATTGACCAAGTTAGGGTTATAACCTTGTAATCCCTCTTTTTTATTTAAATCCGGAATTATTAGAACTTTTCTCTCTCTGTGTGTTCATCTCTCACAATCATTTTCTGTATCAAAGTTTTGATCTCTATTGTTAATAAACCTATCAACTACATGCCTGATACCATTTCAACAACACTAATAGCTGATACTTGCAAGGTTGAGAGCCATGTGTTAATTTAGTTACTTGTTTTCGTTCGATTTATTCAATTTGATGACAAAAAATTGAGCAGAATTCTTCACTTAGCCTGGTTGGCAAACGCCCAATATCCCGAGATACCAATGCTGAAAAATGTCGACAGTACGACATCATAGTATACAAAAATAAGATCAAAACCTAACAATAAATTCGAAATATAGGATTCTGTTGTCTTTTTTTCCTTTTTCTTTCTCAAGTAATAAGGCTAATGGAAAATCTGTATTTCAGGAATAATGCCATTTCCATAAGCTGCAGCAATGATTGCAATAGCGTTGAAGGATCCAAAAACACGATTCTTTCTGCTTCTGCTTCAAGAATAATCTCCTTCCTAGGAGTATTCATGGAATTTCCTGTGAGCACGGGAGTTAATTAATGGGGCTAATCACAAAACACAAATTCCTAATTAGGTAAAGAAATTATTTTGTGATGTCTTACAGATGTATATAGAACCAGAAGTGGCACAGATGCTATAGGCAAAGACAAAGGACCAAGGACACAAGGTTTCTATGCCTTAAGGAGCGGAAAGATGGAATTTGTGCCAACACCAACATCAGGACACCAAAATTAATACCAAATTGGTAGAGTTGCATAGCTTCTGGTCTTGAACTAGGAAGCAAAGATATATACTTGCAGAAGAAGAAACTAAAAGAAATCAAACTTGATAATATTTCAGCTTTATAATACATTGTTCTACTAGAAGCTCACAAAATAAAAGTTCAAAAAGCATGTGGGTTATTGAAAATGTCGACGGAAATATAAAACTGAGCACCTTAAGGCTCTGCCCTCCCAGAAGAGTGCAAGCTATAACTGCACCATAGCACAAGCCAAACTGAATTGGACTAACAAAATATCGTCCCTATCCTCATCCTATAAAACTAGACGATGCATGCTCATATCATTTTTTTATCAAATAATTTTGCCTCAAATCAAATTTGAATTTGGGAGGAACCTCAAGTTGTCAAAAAGCAGCTTTTGAGTATACTCACCAAAATATCTTTGGCCATGTCGCGGAATCGAAGCTTGGCGTGGTGCCCTAGAACCAAGGACAGAAGGTTGTAGGAGTAAAATGTTACAATAGCTGATATGGTGAGGCATAAGGCCCCAGCAAACCAACCTATTAAGGACATTGCATAAGGCCGGTTTGGTGGGCTGGATGAGATTAAGTTTTGGAGATATGATTTGATTGGCAGAGACATGTAAGACATGACTTGTAACTCATGTATAAGAATAAATTAGATAATCTCTATTGTAGATTTATAACTCATCATGTCTAATTATGTTCATCTCACATTTTGACATAACAAATAAAAGACTACTCAAATTCATTTTAATTGTCACAACTTTTCTCAGTCAGCCCACTAAATAGGCCCTAAAAGTGCAAGAGCTAAAGTTGAAGTTATCAGATGATATCCACAATGCAACCATGACCCCATGTACATATTATCATTAGTTAAACTCTTCAATCGAAAACTAGACTAAAAGTGTCATTTAGTACTACGATCTAGTGATATTCTTTTTTACTTGTAAGTGAGAGGTCTTAGGTTCGATTCTAGCGAAAGACAAATTTAAACCACATTTTGCTAGCCTATTGTGAGGCTAAACCCACCCCATCTCTTTAGTATAAATAATATCGTTTGTTCAAAAAAAGAAAAAACACCAGACTAAAACTCATTGATCTTGATTCTTGACACACATTGAATTTCATTTTTGAAAAGATGATATTCTAAACTAATCAATTTAGGGGAAAGATCATTCGAACTTCGATGCAACGTGGACAGTACTGCCCTTGCTGACTGGCAAAGATGAAGGAACAAATCATCCATGTGATGGGACTTTCACATGGGAATATACACTTCTTGGCCAAGAGACGTCACTTTAGGAAATATTTGCACTCCTCTAAAAATATTGTGAAAAAAGTTTCTCTTGATCTACCCATACATATAAAAATAATTAATTGTTGTAAACTTTCTTAGTTTAAGTGTGATTGTGTAAATCTTAGATTAGATTTGATTTTAATTATCATTTCCTATTACAACTTGTATTCCTTGGGGATGAAGGAATTTTTTCTCTCTTTTTACTACGGTAAATAAAGGCACTATGTAGGAGGGATAATACACACATTCCCCCCACAATTCTACAAACACATGTATCTCAATTTCTCTTCTCCTTGCCACTGGTTCCTTTAACCTTGTCAGATAAAATAGGTTACAATATTAACCACATTTTAACCTCCATTTTTTTTTATACATAGTTTTCAAAATGAATCGCGAGATTTTAAATTTTATAACTCGCATCCTGAATGTTTATGCTTATATTGGGAAGAAAAATTGTCATATCCCGGCCCGGGCCCCACCACAACCCGAGTCCGACTCCACCATAGCACGATATTGTCCGCTGTGGGCTTACCATTCCCTCACGGTTTTGTTTTTGGGAACTCACGAGCAACTTTCCAGTGGGTCATCCATCATGTTATTGCTCTAACCCCCTTCTCGCTTAACTTCGGAGTTCCTACTGAACCCGAAACCAGTGAGCTCCCACAAGGCCTCGTGCTAGGTAGCGATGAGAATATACATATAAGGATCACACCCCTGGGCGATGTGGGATGTCACAAAAATAATCAAATTGTTTTCAAAGCACAAAATGGGCAAAATTGATAGGATTAAATAATAATATTTTGTTTAATGATTCTCAAAAATAATTAAAAAATTTAAGTACTGGGTATTTAAACGGTACTCTACGTGTCATAATATAAGTGTAGAAAATGATATATTTTTTTTATCCCTTCACTTATTTTATAAACACTGGCTTAAATATTGAGCACTTAGAAAAATTTCTCCAATGATTACCGAATTATTCATTTAGGCTGCAGACGGTATAATTGATAGAAATTTTGATATTTTAGTGTATATTACTATAAACAAAATTTTGAGGCCCATTTTGAATACAACCTCAAATCTTGGGGGTAGGATTTAGTTAGAGAAATAATAACAACACACTATTTTTTTTTTAACACACTTATATTAATTTTGTTACTATTTTCGTTCTATTTATTCAATCTAACAACAAATAATAATAAAAAATGTGCCTAATTATCATTTATATATATATATATATATATATATATATATATATATTGTAAAAGGATATTTTATTAAACACCAACAACAAACATACAGCACATAAAGGTCCAAAGACTACATATCAACAAACAAAAGTAGGCCTAAAACACTAGAAAACAAAAAATGAGCCCAAAAACAGTTAGGCCCAAACTTAACATCAAGTCTTCCAAAGCAAAAGCTTCCACACCTTTCCATAGCTTTCTCCACCCTTCCAGTGCCAGCCAATCCATCCGATTCCATCTCTGCCGCCGAGCACTGCTTTAACAGACGCCACATCCAAACCCAAATTGCTACCTGAGCACAATCATAAACTAGAGATAGCTGGCAACTAAGCAAGAGAAGCGAACTATCAGTTTGAAGCTCGTGAAAATCATGAACGACACTAACGAAACCGACAGATAACAAAGAGAAAGTGGTGGTGTTGGAAACACCTAAGCTGGTGGATACACTGGAACTCTACGCACTATCTCAGTAGGATGTGTGGCCAAAGATTGGAGCAAGGAAGAGCCAGGAAGAGTAATACCCACGAGGATAAAGCAATAGAATAGATCGAAGTAGAGATTTGGAAGAAAAAGCAGTGGAATCAAGGAAAACAAAAGAGAAAGAACGCAAGAAGGAAACAACAACCGACCCTAACCGAAGCTAGGGCCAGCGCCACAGGATTTTCTTTGGTTTGAACGCCTTACACAGGAATTGAGAATAACTCTCAGTTTGAGAGGAAAGCTCTCTCATGGAGAGAAAAGTTTTCCAAGCTATTATCATTTTTAGGGTTGGTTCGGTATGGGATACTGAACCGAAACTCTTATTCCAATTCCCAAACCAAAGTTTTCGGGACTCCCAATTTCAAGACCAATCTCAAATCCAATTTTTGAGAATCCCAAAATAATTTAGGGCTCATGTGTCAAAACAATCGTAACAACATATAAACTTCGTTTACAGCTAAATAGTGTAGCTAAAGTAGCAAATACACACACGAATTCAGAGAAAGTCTCGGCAAAACATTATGCTATTACAACATTCATCGAAAAATAAAGAAAACTATCCTCCCCCAGAATCTCCAAGGCAAGAAACCAAACTCATTGGCCTAAATTCTCTCATGCCTATAAAGAAAGAGAGGGTACTGTAAGAAACATAGAATTCAAATATGGATTGGATGGTATCTTGCTAATAAAACAAATCTAATCCACCATGTTTTATGTAGGCTTCGTGGCTAAAAATTCCAAAAACTAATACTGTGAACTGATAAAAAAAATGAATTTATTTAAACTTGCCTTGCTAGCAATGTTGTTGGAAACACAAATTGTACCTGTTGTTGGAAATAAACGAATTATAGAATAACCATATGATTAAAAACCCCAAATTTCAAACGAAATTGAAAACCCCCAAATCCAAAACTCTAGAATTCAAATGCCCAAATAAAAACGAATTGAAGCCACAAACAGACTTTACCACATCAAGATTACCAGATGAAGACAAGAATATTACCTTAATGAAGAGAGAAGTAAAAGGAAGCAGAGGTGGCTGTATTGATTATCGAATGCAGAGGAAGTTGTTAAATGCAAAAAGAAAATGGAAGACTGGTCTGGAAGTAGTGTGAAGGTAAGGGAGAGAGAGTGAAAGAGTGGAGGTCGAGAGAGAGAGATTTATTGGTTTGAACTGAAAGGAGTACAGGAATAGGGAGGTAAGGAAGTGAAGGTGAGGTGAGGTCAAAGAGTTTGGCTGAGAGGTCATAGTGAAGGTGAAGGTGAGATTAGGTTTCATTTTGAATGAACGGTTGAGGCTAATTATCAACCAATCCAACGGTGTATAATATCTAAAACTATATATATTTTAACTTAGGTTCGGTTTGAGATTACTGAAAAAATCAGATTGTGAGACCGATTTCTGTATCGACAAGGTCATAATTGGTACCAAAATTTTTAGGATTTTCAATTTAGAATTTTTTTGGTTCAGTTTCGGAATTTTTTCGTTGCAGTTCGAAATTTTCGGTATTTTTTTTCATCCCTAATATTCATTTTCGTTGTTAATCCAAAAAGTAATGTACGTATCTGCCAGGTCTGGAGCCCTTGTTCCGTCGCATGCGAAGTTTCAATAGAATTTTCAAATGACCAAACTACCCTTAAACCCGAAACTGTTAACCGAAGTCCCACGAAAGGCACAAACTACAAACCGACGCGACCTCTCAGAGCAACTCCACCCCTATCCACTTTGCGCCAGCACCCAGCCTATTTATCCACTTAATTGAACAATAACAGACTCAATGAACAGTAATAGGCCAAAGCATCTCCACCCCAAAAAAAAATGTGCTGGCACCTAGTCTAAAAATGCGCTGGCACAAACGATCTCCACCCCTACAAAATGTGCTGGCACCCAGTCCATTTAAAATATTAAATAATTTTTTTATAAAATAATAAAAAAAAAATAGTTTTAATTTCGGATAGGATTTTTAACCATTCTCGTCACGCCACGTGTCATTATCCGAACGTACTATTTTTTGAATAGATTTCCGCTAAGATTTTCAACCAATCCCGACAACCCACGTGGCATCTTTTCCATGTACATCGTTGAACGATTTCGTAATTTTACTCCACATTTCTCGCTTATCCATCTCATTACCCGTAATCGGGTCATGAGTAGTGCGAACCCAACATTCACACAACGTAACATCTTCACTGAGCTTCCACGAAGTCATTTTTTTCTCTCAAAGTGTACAAAATATTCAAATGTAGAAAGTGTAGAAAATATTGAAATGTGGTGTAAGGTGGAAGATGAGGGTTAGGTATTTATAGAAAAAAAATTAATTTTTTAAAATTTTTCTGTATTTTTTTAAAAAATTTTGACATTTTTTAATTAATTTTTAATAAATTTTAATGTTGTAATTAATCGGGACCGTTGGATTTGAAAAATAATCAAATCCAACAGCCAACACGATGCCACGTGGCCAACGGTCAAATTTCTGACCGTTGGGCCTTTTTTTTTTTTTTTTTAAATTTTTGGTGAAATAAACGTGGACCGTTGATCTGTGATCGGACGGTCCAATTTAAAATTTAAATTTAAATTTTTTTTACCGTTGGATTTCCAACGGCTAGTTTTCCAACGGCCTAAAAAACTAGCCGTTGGAAATCCAACGGCTCTGAGGAGGCCACGTATCCTTCACCCCGGACGACTGCAAGTGGACTGGCACGCGGGCCCCAGCGCCTGCACAGCCTGTCGGCTACGCGCCCCGGGCACCGCGTGTGTTGCACGCGCCAGAAACATACCGGCTCATGGGTCTGTCCATTTTGGGCTGGGCTGTTGACTGGCACGGGCTGGGTGCCAGTCAATTGCACGGGCTGGAGCAGATTCACTTGGTGCCAGTCCATTTTCTTCACTTGGTGCCAGTCCAAAGGGCATGGGCTGGAGTTGCTCTCAGGGTATCAGTTGAAGTGGAAGGAAGAGCGAGCAACCCCTCTCTCTCTGAGTCTCTCTGAATCTCTGCAAATCCGGAATGGCGAAAGGTGACGATGCAGTGAGGAAGAAGCAGAACAAGGTCAAAAGAAAGAAGCTCCACAACAAGAACGACCGTTCTTCCTCTGCAATCTCTGCACGCGTAGCCTCCATTATTGCTGCCAAGAAGCGCCGCCATTCCGGAAAACGCAGCAAATGTCAGGTACTTCCTCCAACACAACTCTTGGGTCCCTTAGCTTTGATTGTATTTAATTATACAAAATAAGGAAAAGAGAAATTGATAATATGTTAATTAGAGTGCATTTTTGCTCACCTGCTCACCAGAGGTCTTAAAGTGCATTTTTGCTCACCTGCTCACCAGAGGTCTCAATGATCACATTGTTGTTAGATGAGTTTGATTTAATTTATTTAGTACACGAGTCTCAAAATTTAAAATCATCTAACGGCAATCAATGAGGCGACGAGCATTACCACAAGTTATGGGTGGTGACCAAAATTCTTTTATCAACTTCCTCCAACAGAACTTTTCAGTTTCTCATGTTGTTTACTGTGCATTGGATGATGTGGAAAATTAAATTATGGGGTATTTGTTCTGTCAATTGGGTTTTGTGGTTATTTCATTAAGGATTCTTTCTGCAAAATAATTTATAATTTATAAATGTATTGTAAAGTTTCCATGGAAGCATTTAGATTTGAATACTGGTCAGGTCCCCGAGTATTTAAGCAGAGTCTTATTTATCTTGACATTGCAGGGTATGTGCTTTAGCCTTCCCACCCTTGATGATCCCTTCAACGATAGGTATGGTGCAAAGGATTTTGAGAAGAAAGTAACCAAGAAATCCATGCTTCCCAATAAGCGTGAGAAGGCGTTTTTGAATGAAAAAAGTGAAGAAACTCTCGATATTGAAATGGTGGATAGTCCAGCGCAGAAGAAGGAGATGGTAACAATTTTGAAGGATGAGGTAAAGAAATCACTGACGTCTATTAATACCACGGCTGATAGAAGCCGAATGGATCCTGGAGAGACAAAGACTCAGCTGGATGGGAATGGGAGCATCTACGGGCATCAGGAAAAGGTCTGTGAAAACTTAGATTGTCCATCTAAGTATCTTATTCAGTGCTTGAATGCAATAGAAAATTCACTTCGCTGTGATGGTACCTACAACAACGAGGAGGGCAAGCCCTTGTTTGTGAGTACTTGGGGAGTTGAGTTTTGGAAGTGTTATTCAGCTGGGAAGGATATACTCGAGACAAGCGGAACCTCTTCTACAATGGAGCAAATTGCATGGATGGTTTCCTGCGCTGCTGATTCAGTTTCTAGAAAGGATGAAGAAGGTTTATCAGTCACCAGCCCATATCTTTTGTTCCTTGTTCCATCCCAGGAGAAAGCCACAAAGGTTTGTATGATATATTTGTTTAGCAATCATTGGTTGAAAATTTTAAAGCTCATTTGAGTGGCCAACCACTCTAAGGCTCAATCTAGATCGCATAAAAGACACACATAAATAAGGCCCATTAGACTGTTAATTCAAGCATGATGTATTTTTCTCTGACTCCATATCCATGGAATCACATATACCCTCTTCAGAGTTACATTTGTCCTTGTTAAGTGATTAATGTGGTTGTTTGACATTTTTTGTTTAATGGTGATCAGGTACGTTTAGTATGCAAACCTTTGAAGGCTCTTGGAATACATACAGTGAGTATACATCCTGGTGCTTCCTTAGATTACCAGATTGAAGGGTAAATATTGACTCTGATATTTTAAAATTGGTGCCTGGGATAATGCCATTTTGGCGCATTTGACGCAAAATTTATTAAAGTTGCTTTCTGCAATTCTTCTCATGGGCATTCTTGATTTACCATGTCCATATTAATTAGTGATTCTCATGCAACCTTAACGTTTGATGTTTTTTCTTGTTTTAAAGATTTTCATACTAGTATATGTCGTACAAAAGCTCTGTGGCATGCTTGTTCTGACCAGTGATACAACATGGCCATTTACACAACATGATTCTGATTTTCAAACTTGTGGGAAAACAAAAGGTCTATGATGTATGGCTTTGCTATTTTAAGCATGAACCGTGAATGATGTAAAAAGGAAACAAATGGAGTTCTTTTGGCATAGTGTGTCTGTTTTCATTCTTATCAAGTCATAAGTATGCTTAGTTCTCTGGTGTGTGTGTGTGTGTGTGTGTGTGTGTGTGTTTGTGTTCGTGTATTTGTGTGGGCTTGCAGATGTGTGTGCATTGTGCATGTGTGCATGTACGCCTGTATGAGTGGGTGCACATTTGTCGTGCAACTGCTCTGCTGTGCTTGTATGCACATGTGCAATTGTGTCGTTGTATATAACGCTATGTATGCAGAACTATAAATTCAAGGAACTATAAAATCAAGCTTTAAGTTGTTGGTTGTGTGCCTTCCTTGTAAATGCTGGATCTACTTAGCCTTTCATATACAGTTTATCCTTGTTATGGTTTCTGATTAACTGTGGTTTTGTGAATAGTCTGAAAAGCTCAGAACCTGAGATTATGATTTCAACACCTGAGAGACTTTTGGAGCTTCTTTCCTTGAATGCCATTGATCTATCTGGGGTTTCGTTGCTGGTATTGTGTTCCTTAACTTGTTCATTCATTATGCAGTACCATGTGTGCATTTGTTAATCTTACATTCTCTTTTCTTACCCCTTAATCTCGAATTACTGTTTAGCCTGTTTGTAATTGAATTTTAATAATCAGTGGTAATGACTTACTGTTGGTTACACTATCACTGTTACTTCCATACATTGGATTCCTATCGGATTCTTTGTCATGGTTTTTATAAGTTTTAGTGTGTGGACACTAATGTTGTGTTTGGAGTTTGGACGAAGGATTACCAAGTACCAAGGATTTTGGCTATTAATAATAAATGAACTACAAAAGATTAAAAACATGTTTGAAATGACGATGCAATGCACTGAGAGGAATTTGTAAGTAACTGCTTGAAATGAGGGATTTGAAAATCCTTTGTTTAGTGGCTTTGTAATGCTCACGAAGTGCCTTTTCAATCCCTCTACTTAATGTTTTGCAAACCATTTCAAACTAATTTAGCCTAAATCCCTTGGTACTTGGAAATCCCTTATCTAAACACACCATAAATTCATAATTTATCGCCTTAGCGCACAGGAGACCTGTAGCCGATGCTTTTCTTAGACCTCTGTGAAACATAGGCTAGTATTTTTAACCATAAGAGGGATGAGAGCTAACAGTTCAGTATGTTTCCAGTATGTTTCATTAGTCTATCAAGTGTCCTTACTGATGAGTTATTATCTTATTATCTTTTTCATTTTACCTTATTTTCATAAAGAAAAAAGTTTGAATGGTTTCCTTTGTCACTTGAACAGGTCGTTGATGGACTGGAATCTTTCTATAGCGAAGGTTGCTTTGATAAAATAAATTCCATTCGCCAATCTTTTAGTGGAAAAACCCATACAGTTGTTTTCAACGATTGCCTTAGATATGCCTGCGTACGAGTGGTGCAAAATCTTCTGACAGGATCAGTTCATAGATTATCTCTAAACAGTTCTCTCACCAGTCAAAGTGCATGCATCATTCAGTCTGTAAACATGTGTCTTTTGAAAGAAAAACTGCCTAAGGTAAGTAGACAACTTTTACAAACACCTACGTTCCATGCGAGATGTTTAAAAGCTAACCATAATTCTAGAAAGAATACTGTTTCTTAAATGTTTCAATTTTCCACTATAACTGTTGGTTTTTTTAATATTTTAAAATCATATTGAGATAAAAATTAAAAAAAAAAAAAAATATGATTGACTGGATGGTAACTTTTCAGAGGTAGTCTGGAGGTACGCTGAAATCCTCAACACGTAATGTGTATCTTTACCTAAAGAATTGGATGTTAGAGATGGTTAGAGGACTTAGGGTTGTTTGTTGAAGAGCATCAGGATGCTGTTGGAATTCTTTTAGATGTGCAAAGTCTAACATTCCTTGATGTAGTGAGACCTGAGAAGGATTTCGTAGAGATAACTCTCTCTTGAATTTTTAACCTGCAAAGTAGAAAAAGATTACAAGCGTAATTACACGAGTAATATGAAGGAATATGGCAAAATGCTGCTCTGTTATAGTGGAGAAAGCTTGATCATGTAGTTATTTATTTATTCATTCAAATTAGCTCTGTATTGTTGGGGAATACGTCCTTGAAATAGAGTTCAGTTCTACCTACCTGTCAATTACTTTTGCAGGCTATCGGAATTCTTGATCACGCTTATCGTGGTCGGCACCAGCCTCAGGCTTCAAAGGTACTGTATATAGTAGGGAAAGATGAAAAGCATCGTAAACTAGCTACTGCGCTAAAGTTCAAGGGTTATTCCATCTCATCTGACTCGGTTCTTTCAGAAGTTGGGAACAGGTTGATGTTCATACTTCTTTTTTTTATTCCTTTTTTCAATCCTGTAAACTAAACTGCTGAAGCTCATACTTTGTTTTGTGAGGATGACTCGTTGTTTGTCTTTCTCGTCTGTTCAGTGTGGAATCCAAGGGCAGGACGAGGCCTATAGTCTTCATGATTCACATAGACCAAATTGGTGCAACCGACTTCAGTGAATATGAATTTGTAGTTCTACCCGATTTGATTCTCTCAATTGACAGTTACGTTCAGATCCTCATGAAAATGGCTCGGTACTCTGTCAATGGCGTATTGCATAGCTTTTTTTCCAGAGAAGACGCAAAGCTCGCTGCACCGTTAATTAAGATCCTTGAACAATGTGGGCAGGCAGTGCCTGAAGCCCTAAGAAAAATGTCTTCATAGCAATGACATTTGGATTTGTTTCGCCCATTTTTAATTCACCAATTTTGCCAAATGTTGTCATTGATAATTGATTTCTTCTTGCAAGTCTTGTAATACGTTTTAATCCTTGTAGTTGATTGAAAAGACTACTTGTCGCAACTTCGCTTTATCCACTAATCATTTGGAATTTATTTTTTCACCAATTAGCTCGTAGTTCAGTAAAAAAAATTTTAATAACATTGAAAGATGTCTTAAATTCGAATTTCTAGTAGAAGAAAAAAAAAGTACTTTTATTTTCTCACCAATATGCTTTGCTATCGGCTTTATGCGCAGTTCAGTTGCCCAAGTGTGGAGCCGTTCTATCAAAACGATTTTTAATTGATTTGAATAATGTCAAAATGTTTCAAAGTGTTTAGTACTTATTTTGATTAAAAAAATATTTTAAAAGATTCTAAATTTTTATAGTTATTTACTAAAATTATATGTTTTGGTGTGGAATGGATTGAATCATTGACTTTGATACAGCCCATAATTAAACTAATTAAGACAGGTTTGAGAGTAGTCTAGTAGCAACTCCATTTTGTATTCAGATAATATGAATTTGAATGGAAATGAAACATTACAAATGCAATGGACAAAAGAGTAGAGTTCAATTTTCTGTGGGTTAACAACATTTTACACGCTTCAAGTTTGTGTCATTTTCAAAATAAGCCATGAAATTTCAGTTTTCTCATGCTGCACTCCAAAATATTAAAATTGATTTAATTTGTGCCTTTGATCTGATTGATTGCATGATAATTCATTAAATTAATAACATGGTGAGATTGAGATATGAGCTAAGGTGTAAGCTACATTTGCTCTATATTGACAAGAAAAAGAACTCATCAATTTAATGGATGATTAGATATTGATAGATAGACTTTCAAAATATTAGGGTGCAGTGTGAGAAAATTGGAACCTCATAACCCATTTTGAAAATCATCCCAAACCTAAAGGGTAGTTAGCCCAATTTTGGTGTACAAGGACATTGATACCTTGTATACCCTATCATCCATTTTTTTCTTCAAACAAACGATAACATTAGTAGGTTAAATTGTTAGTTATTAAGGAAATGAAAGATTGGTAGGGATTGCACTCATACGAAGGTGTATAAACATAATTACTTTTCGTCAATGTAATAAAGTGTCATTCTCACCCCTATCATCCCTTTGTTAGTGAATTCATATTCATCTATATTTTTCGTTTTATATATTTGCATTGTACTTATTAACATTAGTTGGTAATCAAATTACTGTTATCAATAAAATCATACATCCGGTTTTGTGACCAACACTAAATACAAAGGTTTATCAGTAGAAGAAGAGTAGGATGTCTAAATTCATGACAACATAAGAATTTAATGAACTTCGATCTATCCATGTCAATTAATTGTATTACATCATTGGCATGGTATCCCATCTTTCTGTGTCTTTATTTTCCATATGACAAATCCAAAATTTTGCTAGTCTCAATTTCGGTCAAAAATCCCAATCCGTGTATCAGTTCTCTCACCCCATTTTCCCAATCTCAATTTCATTAGCCAAAAATGCCTCTCTCTCTCTCTCTCTCTCTCTCTCTCTCTCTCTCTCTCCATTTTTTCCCTCTCAAATCAGCAGAAAAATTGAAGGAAATAAATGTAGCCCGTAACAGAAATTTTAAAAAAAAAATATATGGAGTTGAAAAGCGTTTTTGGGTTTATTCGTTTAGGGTTTACTGGTTTAGGAATAAGGTGAACTGAAAAAATAGGAAAATGAGGAAGAAGATCCAAAGAGGTGAATTAATGGATGGAAGGAAGAGTTCCAAATAATCCAAAGTGATAAAATTATGGGATTATTCATTACTCTTTGAATTTCAAAACGTGGACATAATTTGAATCTAATGGAGGTCATGATTATTCATGGATTTATGAGATTCCAGGTTTACGAATATGATAATACGAAGAACAAAAGCGGGAAAGTCGCGGAAGAGAATAGATACAGTGCAAAGGTGTCATACAATAATTCTAACGTGGATTGATGCAAACTTCTAATTAAATTAATCTAATAGTTAAGATTTAACTAAATGCCTGTAAAAACACGAATGCTAAATACATGTAAATGCATAAATGGTAAATGTAAAGATCAGGATCTCATATGCTATTTTGAGTTGGACGCCTTAACCACATACACTTCCTTTTAAACTTTAGTTCCAAGGTTTGACTGAAATAATATCATCAGTTTCCGCTCAATATTAATCTAATTAAGGAAGTTGTCAAACTCTTGCCCCACCTTGATGGTCCAAAACTTAGGCACCCATATCTTTTGTGACTACTGTTACCGACAAAAATTCATGACTGTCAGTATAACTAGATATTAAAATAATTAGTGATATAAATTTTTCATGTTAAAAAGTAGTTTTTTTTTTTTTTTTTTTTTTTTTTTTTGGATTTGCACCAATTTTTATCCAAAGATTTTTATCGAACAGGTCGATGTTGAACCGTTTGGTTTAGATCACAAAACACTTGAGCTTCGGCCATGCAAATCAAACGGGTCGATGTTGAAGCATATATATATCTCATATATACATGCTCTTTACGCAAAGGGATTCTCATTTTGTATTTTTAAATGAAAATTACGTGCGGGACTCACTTCATATCGAACTTAAACAATTTGAATGTCTATTTTGTCAAACTCGATTCTTAGATTATCCTTGTAAAAACTCAATTCATTGTTTCTTATATAAATAACAAAGTATTCGTTAATTTCTTTGAATCCAATTAGATGTCTTAGATATTTCCGATTTGGCTAATATTTTGCAAAGATTATCTATGAGGTGCAACTCAAAAAAAAAAAAAAAAAAAAAGGGGTTCGGATCATTAAAGTTCGATAGATATGGTGTGAACCCCACAATTAATCTCTATTTTTATAAAAAAAAAAAAAAAAAAGAACCCCTTAAAGGCTTTCTACATATGTAAGTGATTTGTGCTACGAAAGTCAACATTATATTAAATTAATAAGGTTCGGATCATTAAAGTGCAATATGGTGTGAACCCCACAATTAATCTCTATTTTTATAAAAAAAAAGAACCCCTTAAAGGCTTTCTACATATGTAAGTGATTTGTGCTACGAAAGTCAGCATTATATTAAATTAATAACTTTCTTTATACAAAAACGATAATAAACAAGTTTCTTGTATCAATCGTTCGGGTAGTGATGTATAACCTCTTGGAAAAGACTATGATGAGTCTGTAACCCTCGTTTGTCTTCGAACAACCACTTTTTGATTAAAATCAAGTAATTAATATCATTATCAAATCCTATTAGGTGTTCCATCGCAGAATTAGAAGACATTATGATATAAGTATCATTTAAGTGTCATAATTAAGCTGCCGACATGCATGGAAGGCTGCCTAAATGCCACGTCCCTACTTAGATCTATATCCTGCGTATGCTTTCTAATTATATTGTCAACGGCCAAGCTATAGAGACCAAAATTTTAGACTATTTTTGTAAATTACATAATATAAGAGTTAATAATTGGACTTTTTAAATCATTAAAAAAAGGAGGATGATTCTCTCATCTCTTAATCTCTCATCTCTTTCCTCCTCGTCTATTTGAACGGTTATAGTTAAATCACGTCAAAATTATGTGTTAATTTTTAATAGCCAAAAGAAGACACAAAGCTATCTGTGAGAGGGGGAGAGGGAAGGAAATGGAAGCGGAGAGAATCGTATTTCTTTAAAAAAAAAAAAAAAAAAACTCAACCATCCACCGTCACATCATGTGATCTATAAAAAATAGTCTAAAAATTTAGTCTTCCTAACATTTTCCTATTCTCAATATATCAATGTGTTTGTCATTTTTTATGCTTTCAATTAATAAATATTTTTCAACCAAAAAAATTATTATTATGAAATATTGTGGATGTTTTATCATTTTCTTATTGTACTTTTTGAAGGGGCTTAGTGCCATGTGACATAAGAAATTCTTTGTTAATGGTGCACCTCCACAGTCTGATTGATATATTACGACCCCACAGTTGGGTTGTCGATTCTTCCATGCATGTGTATGAGTGGCCAGTAAGATCACCGTCCCATGCACAAAAGTAAACAAGATTACCAATAATCATCTTACCGATCTTATTGATGAATTTACTCTTGCGCATTAATGTTAGTAACTTCGAAGGTATAAAATTAACAGATGCTCGGCAGTTTCAAAGAGTATGGTACTAACACAATTGATCAGGACCATTTCGAAAGCCAAAGGGGCCGAGGCAACGAACTCTTATGTCATTGCTCAAGGATTAATTTTTAATTTTTGTTTTTTTTAAAAGGGTTTTCACGCGACGAACAGTGCAAACTATTCGTCTCCCAAAAGCGCTGAGGTGATGAACTCTTATGTTGCACAAAATTGACTTTTATAGTGCAAAATATGGCACTAAAATCTTATGTTACCACGAAATTGTTGTTATCTTATGTGACGAAATGAACATTTTGTCGCGCAAGTATTTGTTTTCATGATGAAATAAAAGATATGATACCATATATATAGGAATAGAGTTATTGTCACATAGAGGACCTGCGCGTTGTGATAAGAGGATGATCCTTCCCAATCATTTCCTTCCAGGCCTTAAACTTTCACCTGTAATCTAGAAACAGCCAAAGAGATCTGAATGCATGCGGGCTTAATTAGAGCATATTGACGGATCCTTTAGCTTACAATGTGTACACGTACTCGCCTGCACATATGGATTATGTATGGTCTGATTACTTGAAGTCACGTAAATCTAAATAAAAAGGAAATATCTTCACTCACCACTTCTTGGTGGCGGCGACGATTAACACCTAATAGATGTGTAGTAAATAAATTAAATCATACTCATCTAGTAACAATCAATATATATGTTGATAATGTTCGTCTCTACTATTTAAGAGTAGTGAGCAAAAATACATCCAAATAAAAATTGCACAATATGCAACTTCAAGGTGCACTTTCTTATCCACATAGCACAAATATCACAATCGAAATCCATCATTTTATAAGCCATCGTTTGTAAACCATCTATGCAAGGAATCAATCGATCCAATAGAGATCAATCATCCAGTTGCCCATATGCATCCAATAACTATAAGTT